ATATATATATATATATATATATATATATATATATATATATATATATATATATATATATATATATATATATATATATATATATATATATATATATATATATATATATATATATCTAAATATGGGTTGGATATTACTAGTTAACAGAAGTTCAGACCTGACTCAGGTTGAAAATTTACGCATATTCCACAGAATTTCCCAATATTTTCCCAAACCCACTTCGATTCCCATCCCTCCTCAGTCTCAGCACGAGCCGTCGAGAATATCTCCTCCGCCTGCTTCAACACTGGTTCGATGAGCGCGATGTCGTGAGGGAAGCATCCGGAAGATGCACTATTGAGGCCTCTGACCTACAAACACATATCGCTGATACATATCCGAGATTCGGGAGCTCACGTAGAACGGATGAAATTCCAATGCGAATCCTCCAAAAACATACCATAATTCGATGAACATCATTCCTTTTATATATGATAGCACTATATAAAACTGTTCTACTTAGTCCTAGTGATCGAGTCGAGCATGCTCATAATAAGCTCACCTTGAAAATTAAATACAACGTAGAGCATATAAGATGACAACTGCCCGGCCATGCCTCCTCAGTCGAGACTTCCTCCGTGATGAACGCTATAAGAGGAGTAGTCAGATCCACCATATGGGCATCCAAAAGGACTCCTCTTTCCTGATACCTGCATATGATAAGTTCCGGTAATTACGTAATATTTGGAATGGCGTAGAAGTTGAACTCCACTTCACAGCGTTTTCACAAAACCCGGTGAAAAACGCGATACTCATGGTATGCAGTAGTCGTGAAAAAATATGTAATTCGCTAGTATTTTCCTATCACGGGTAAAACTCCATTAATATCAGCATTGCTGGGAGTCTCGCTCAATTTCACATAAGATGAACGCAAATATCAGACTATCTCACTATTCACGGGCGATTCCTTTCTCGAGAATTTTCGATACAGCATCGCAGAGCCTACAATTTTCCCAACTTAAACATCCCATAAATTGTTCCCATCAGCCCTTGTCTAAAATGTACATTCCCAAACAATGCTTCACAAACAATCACATATTCATCCCCAACCCCTCACGGTTGCAGCAGATCCTTCAACTCGAAGCAAATCTTCTGACATTCGCTCAGCACAGGTTCAGCTTCCTCACCAGCACGTTCAAGACGTCTTTGCTTGTCGGCGACTTCCACGATTTTCTCAATCAACATAAGGGATCTCCCTTTTTCCCTACAAATGAAGACGACCATCTTCACTACAGTGTGGGAAACCACATATGTTGGTGATGACAATATTAAAATTCTGATAAAATTTTGGGAATTTTCTCTACATTTCTGCATGTTTCTACGATGATTCGTATATAAACTCTCATCGTTAGCGAGGAAACTTCTGAGCTCAGCTGAGGAAAGTGAACAACATCGCGATAACCTCACTTGAAAAATTCCACTTCGTCCACTTCCACATCGCGATTCTCTCCACAAACTTCACTCTTTCCCCAACACTCAGTAGCATCATAATCATACTCTACCACGCCCGTACACGCTGAAGATTCCTCATTGCTCACAATAGTATCCATTTGAGGTCCAACTTGAAGAAAGATACAAAATACAGTGCGTGTCAATTTTATATGCAAATGTGAATTATTGTTCCGAGATTAACGAAAATTCTTCTGAAACTATATCGCACATAAAATGGAGTTTCACCCGTTTTACATGAAGTGGTACAAGATATTCGCGGTGATATGCAGTAGTCGTGAAATATATTTTTCATATCACTAGGGTGGTGAAACTCCAATGTAACAATAACTATGTGTTGTGATGAAAGTACCCGTTTAAGACTGTGATGATAGCCACAACTTGTTCACTATAACATATCCTCCAAAATAACACACATTTGCATATCAAATTGACACGTACTGTACGTCCACTCAACAACTCAACCACCAATATCGTCATAAAACTTTTTTGTTGCGAAATCTCATCTAACATGAACAGATTCCCCAACAGCTCTCACAGGGTCGTCCTCAACGCCCAGCACCGCGGAAGTGATCGCAAATATTAAAAATAAGATTCCACCAGCAAGAGAAATATGTCTTTCGGAGATTTGCCTCGCCAACAGTTTCCCACCAATCACCGCGATTCCCGTACCTGCTATAGTACAGTGCGTGGCACTTCGAAAAGACAAAAAATGTAAAAAAATGTGCGTTATTTTCCGAGATTAGTGAAAAACAATTCGAAAATATATATCATATATAATGTAACCACAACTATAAACATGCGTTGTGATCAAAACTTCCCTACCACACTAACAAACATTCTCCACATTTCCATATACTGTATATGCAAATGTGCGCGTGTAATCAATATATGACAAAAAAATGTATATATAGGGGGTAAAAATCTCTACTTCACACATTTTCCTTGGTGTGCCGAATCGAATAGTATATACCATAAACCCATTAGAAATTCGGACACTTTACCGTCCTCAGATGCTACTCGTGATATCGGAATCCCACGTAGCGTATTTTCACCACAATTTGAGTTTCCACTATCGAACTGAGCTGTGATCCTTCTATTAACGATGAATACCCAAGTAATTATATTATTAGTAATCAAAAAA